TAAGTACAATTTATTTAGAAAATAATTCCACTTTAAAAAGCATGTTCAGCATATTTTATCGAAGTACATGGCTTATAGAAAAAAACAGGAGGTTTGATATATGTATTCAGAGTTGCAAATATTGTCCCCTCTATGTAATGCAGCAGAGGATAATAGAAGATGGCAACTGACTAAAAGATTTTACAAATAAATGTAAATCATTTAGTTTAAAATCAAAACTAAACCTTAAAGATGTGGAGAAGGCTAAAAATTGCTTAAACAGTACCTTGAATAGGGAGTCCTCCCTGAGCCTTTTAACTGAAGTTACCACCTCTCTCCTATCCTGTTTAAATATTTAAAAAAGTATCAAGTCTTTTCACATCCAAATATAAGCTTAACTCCTGGATTTCCAATACTGTTATTACAGTTCTAGAAACACTAATAGGAGTTTCCTTCACAGCTGTGCTTTGGTTAATATTTATTGGGGTGCTTTGGTTAATATTTATTCAGGTTGAATATCAATTGGGACATCATCCTGTTTTCTTCTCCGGTTGCCAATACTATTCTGTACATCTAACAAATTTCAATAAAGTAAAGGTATCTCGTAAAATGCTTGCATCACAGTAAAAAAGAATGGTACAAGACATGCAATTAGTAACTTGTATGTTTTCCATTACCTATTCGTGTATTCCCCCAAAATTACAGCACAACCATCTCCTAGCTGACCTGCCCAATCGCCAAACTTAAAAAAGAATCAATTCAGCCCACAGAAGCACCAGTAAAATAATAAATTTCAAGTTTATTAGATTGTGCTCGAGTCCTTTCATTAACAGCTTGTTTAATTAATTTACAAGAATATGATCCCAAATAAAAACAGTGAGAACGATGGAACTTTACCTGATGTCCACCGTATCTATGTGATAGCATAATTAAGTTTGGTATCATTTCATTTCCCGCAGCAAAGTCTATGAATGCTGGTGATTCTAAGACAGTATCATTCAAATCAAGAATGTCAATACTTCTTGAGAAAAAGCCACCAAATAAGGTTTATATTTCAGAGGAACTGGATGACCTTTTAAAAAAATACTCCATGTACTTGTCTTATATAGTTTCTCGTTTCCTCGTCCACGTCAAATTCTTTCAATAGAATACTTCTTTCCATAAACTCCAGTTTTCAAATTCTAGTAGTTCTGTCTTTCGACAAACAGAAACCATTTGTACCAACAGCAAAAACATATTTGTCTCACAAACAGAGTGATCCTTCAGGGAGTTGCAGTGAATTTTCCAAAGATCCTCATTCACTACGCTTAAAACCGAGCCGTGAAATAAAAAGAAAATAAAGATTGGAAGGGGACAACGAAAGAGACCCAAGTTCTCCGCCATATTAGATGCCTTGGTATCCAAGCCTCGTTTTCTGAGAAAGTAGCCGCGGATGGACTTCAGAAAGAGAAAGGAGGAACAGCAAGCAGAAAAAGAAAACTCCTTCAGCCCGTCATCCCTTTTCCTTTTCTTTCCAAAGGAACAGTTTGAAGACTCAGGGTGTAAAAAGAGTAAAAAGGACAGAAATGGGTGTATAATGACGCCAACTGTTTGTCAACGTGAAGTTTTAGTAGAAATAGAGCCGGTAGAAAAAACGGAAAAGGGGGTTTGACAAGTTGCTAAGGTTGAAGACGTTGCAGATAGTTTGGTTTCATTTGGATTCACAAGGATGTTAACAGTTAATCAGATTTTACAACGTTCTCCGTTACCAACTGTTTCGTGACCTTAGTTAATCTTTACTCTAAGCCTTACACAAAGCGGCAGCTGACAAATTTAAACATAGGCATGCGTAGCATGCAAAAGTAATTTTTTGGCTGGGCGGGTTGAGATGGGGCACTTTTTTTCGTAATGTTTTCATTTGTGCAACAGAAAAAGAACATAACTTTCAAACGGAGGAAAATATCGCCTAACTTAACCTAAAGAGAAAGGGAAAAAAACTAATTTATCTGAACTCACACAGGTATTTTGTGGTCTATTGTCTCTATTGTCCAAAATACATCTAAGCAAAG